GGAGGACTGCGACCAGTTATACATCGGGGAAACAAAGCAGCCACTGTTCAAAAGAATGTCCCAACACAGACGAGCTACATCTAATGGCCAGAACTCTGCAGTTTTCACTCATCTACAGGCCAGCGGTCACTCTTTCAGAGATGAGGATGTTCTCATTCTTGATAGAGAGGAACGTTGGTTTGAGAGAGGAGTAAAAGAAGACATTTTTGTAAAGAAAGACCGTCCATCATTAAACAGAGGTGGAGGCCTCCGTTTTCAGTTGTCCCCCTCCTACAGCACGGCTATTGCCAGTATCACTCCACCCCCTGTTAACAATGGGTGTTAATTAGGTGTCAACGATAGCCATGTGATGTGAGTATCAGTCACATGGAGGCAGGGCTTAAAAGCCTGAATTTTGCCTGAAACTCTCAGACTGAAGAAGTCTCTTGGAGGAGAGACGAAACGTTTCATTAAAGAACCCGTCCAGAAGACCTATACAATTTTTTTCTTTTTGATTTTTTACCTGGATTACTGAGATGCATCAGGACATTCTAAATATTGTATTTCATACACTCAAAAGGAGTGGGTAGAAGTACATTTATATCAGCCCACCTCTTCTCCTGCAACTTCTTATTTATCAAGAAAATTTCTAATTTCTTAAAATGAATTCCTCCAACAACACTGTCACCTCCTTTTTAATTTAAAACCTTTTAAACTTGACAGTTTTCCATCAAGATTAAACAGTTTAACTTAAAAGTTTGTCCTTATGGTGAAGAGAAAAAATACAATATTGTATTTCGCAACACAGTTGAACCATTTTCATTATTTAAGAGCAGATTTAATCGAATTAGGGCTGGGCGGTATGACCTCAAATTCATGTCACTGTAAAAATTGGATCCCTTCATGGTAATGGTATATATCGCGGCAGAAAATTATCATAAAAAGCAAAGATAATGTAAATTTTAGAGCATTTATTTAGCAGAAAACTGTAATCATAATCAAAGCCAGTATTTTTGCTGTAGTGCAAATGAACATAACTGAAGTACAAAAGAATGTTTTATATATACTGTATTGTAAACCTGCTTCAACAACAAACAAAAACATTTTTCAAATTTTCAACAATATCAAATTAAAGTGGATGTTATAACCAGAACTTCAAGTAAAATTAGTCATTTAGACAGAAAAAAATTCAATGTTGTCTAAAATGTTATAGTGCGACAGGACCTTAAGCTGCACATAGTCCTGTCATAAAACTATTCCAGATAACTGGAATGTAAGTGTGGTGAAGCCAAATAAATGTAACATCTGCCTGCCATACAATGAGCTTCTGCCTGCTGAACTTAACTGCTCTGCTGCGCGCTCATCTTCATCATCAGAGCAGAAGCCGACTTTCGGCTACATTAGCAAGATGGATTTATGACTGAACGAACGTCCACGTCTTTTTCATCACCTCTGTGGATAACAATACATTAAAAACAAGTTTTTTTTCTCCGACAACTTGGGTGTGAAAAAGCTGCAGTTGTTAAATCTTCGTTCGGTGCGACGTGCAGCGACAGGGAGGGAGGAAATTATCCCGCGACATGACGTAACTTTTCTACAGCAGGAGGGGGGATGTTTGAGGATTTATTCTCTCTATACGCGTTTTAAAACACTACAATGTCTTCATTATATTTCAAACTCCTGCTGCTCAGTTGTCTCTGTACTCGCAGCCCTGTTTGACACAGGTGCGATGATGTAACTGACGACAGGACAGTAGAGGGTAAATTTCTACCGTAGGCCAACTTCATACCGTTTCTACCGTCTAACGCTTATACCGCGCAGCCCTAAATCGTATCGAATCATGACTAATAGATTCAAAACCTTATGAATCGAAATCAAATCGATATAGAGAATTGGCCATGATACCCAGCCCTAATACATATTGAAGTATTGTATAATAAAGACAAACTACAAGTGAAACAACTTCGGAGAGGAGACAGGAGCTACAGATTCACCGTGCCACACTCGAACGATTTTCTAGAAAACAAAGCAGTTGTGCTTTTAACGCTGCTGAATGGACTAACTCCCACACGACAACTGTCAGTTTCAAGTATCTCTCTCACTCTTCTCTCAGCCTACTGTCTGTCCACCCCCCTACTACTCCGTTTCCTCTTCCGACGATGGTTAAAGTGAACTGTGTGTGCCGATGAGTCAGCAGGGGCGGTGGGAGTGAGATATAAAACAGCGCGGTCGGTGGCGAGAAGAATGAAAAAGAACAAAAACAAAATAAAGAAAAGAAAGCGAAACTGTCCACAAATTTCACTCTCTAGTGGTGGGCTTTTTCTTTATTCCTGCTGACAGTCGTGTTTTCATCTCTTCTACTGTTTGCTTAAACAGGAAACAAAGGGATGAAACAATGGGGAGGAAGAGAGCATCTACTTATGTATTTGAAAAGAAATACATGTATTTAAGGGTTAGACAATAAGAGTGTGTTGATAAAGCAGGCAGCCAACTAAAGGAATGGATGTCTGGATTTAAAAGGTTCCAGTTTTAGCATCTAATTATTGCTTCAAAGGAAAACTTAAAAACTACAAATATGTCATTTTTGAGACTAAAAGATCAAGAAAATAATATTTGCTGAGTTTTGATTATGCAGTCTACAGATGATCAGCGCTTTTGACTCATTTCCAATAAATTCAATAAACTTTTCAGTTTGGGAACTTGAAAGCAGAATGTCTTTAACTCGTGAAAACTATCAGTGTGAAAGATGAAGACCTTTATTTAACCAGGTTGGGTTGAGAACAAATTAATGATCTGGCCAACAAACTGTGGAGTAAAGGTGAAAAGCAAAAAAAATTAAAATAAAAATAAAAATTCAAGAACAAAAAGCACTAGTGTGGTGATGAAAATAGGAGCCACATTCAGAGAGAGAGAGAAAGGCTGTTCTGATAGACCAGATTAACTAGCAACTAGCAATGCACCAATACCAGTGTGGTTATCATAACCATGTTCTGATTCCACAGAATCGATACTGGAGACTTCCACCACGGGTCATTGATGAGCCTAAGAGCCTTAATGAGCAGCAGCTGCTGACACCGCCTCTGAGGAAGGCGCTAAGCTAATGCTAACCTAATGCTTCAAATCAGAGGCATTTTTTTGCAGTCTCTTCGCTCGTGCTGCAGTGAGCTGGATGGCATTTAAAGATGTGAGTGATGAAAACTTCCTGTTTTGTGCTGAAAATGACAGTGATGGATGTGAGGGACGGTTTTATGGGGTGCAGTAATGCACATCACCATAACAAGAAAACAATTAATCGCACAAAAATTAAAATGAGGTCAATAATTCTCATTTGCCTGCTTGTTTGTTTTCTTTGTGTTCCTTTCTTTTTTAAACCTAACACAAGGAGGAGTGAATTCTGGTATTTTCCAGGTGATAGTCTCGTAACCTCTGTGGCATGAGAGCCTCACGAACAGGTATTAAACTAGAAGAGCTTCTTCAGTTTTGGACGCCTTCCTCCAGCTGGCGATGCCTCAAGACGCCCTCGGGACACCATGCCGAACATCGAGTTCACCGCCGAGAGTTGTTTTTTTTTACACTATGTAAATTTTGTAAACTTCGTAAGCAGTGATCGCAATTATTACGAACTTCCAGAGGAAAACTTGGACAGAGGAGGTGGGTAGCAATGTTCCAGCTTCGGCAGCTGTTGTCGCAAACTCTGCTCTTAGTTCATCAGTAACTTTACGTAAATTTCGTAAATTTCATAAACCTCAAATGCAACGTGCGGGTGACTGCAGTTACTTTATAAAGCCAGAGGGAGACATACAGAATAAACTGCACCAGCTCGGATAGAAGAAGCGGGTAGAGATTAGGGGTGCATCAGAAAAAAAAAATCTATTCACATCAGAATCGTGATTCTCGTTTACGATTCAGAATTGATTTAAAATGTCCCAAAGTAAAAAAATAATTAAAAATTAAAGCAATCCAATGGCTGCCTGCTTCTATTTTGTAACTACATGGGACTTCCTGGCGTCATCGTTGGTTCTGGAACGTATGCATGCAAAGAAAAGACCAAAACTAAGAGGAATCTACAAAAATGAAAGAAAGAGAAATTTAACCGTCCCCATCTTCTTGAAGGAAAAGATCTGGGCTCATTTGGTTTGTTTTTTTCACTAAATGAGTCTGAGTTTGACACGAGCTTCACTGTGTGGTTTGCTAAATGAAGATGAAGCACTTTTGGAACACGAAAAACACACGGACTCACGTTATCAGTTTCGCATGAAAAATCTATTATTATTATTAATCGAATTGTGACCCCAAAAATCAGAATTGAATCATAAGATAGTAAAAAATTCCCACCCTTAGTAGCCATGTTACAGTTTCAGCTGCTGTTGTTGTCACAAACATCGTTCACAGTCTGTCCGCAACTTTTCTAAAGTTTCGTAAAAATTTATGAAATTTACGGGGGAGCAACTTGAAATAATATTATCATTTATCGCGATAATTTCTGAGACAATTTATCGTCCAGCAAAATTTGTTATCGTGACCGGCATTAGTGGAGTTGGAATGAATCATTTTAATTTCTTAAATTTTTAATTAAAAAGCTGTTGAAATATTAACGTATATCATATTTCAATACAAATCACTTGTTTTTATACTTAATTTATAATTAGAGGCTCTACTAATTGTAAGAAGTGTAATGGTTCTGGTACTCAGTATCGGCAAGTACTTAAATGTGAGAAAAAAACTACAGTATTGGTGCATTCCTACTAACAAGAACAGCTGATAAAAACAAAGCTAAAGAATGAGAATAAGCAAAAACTATACACTGCAGAGAAGCTTAAATGAAGCAGAAAACGGGGTGAGACAAGACAGCGGTGAACAAAAACTACGAGGAAGAGGAGAACAACACGAAAAAGAAAAATATAACAAAGCAAAAAGTAAAACAGGAAAATAAAGACAAGTGTGAAAGGCAACACAGACACAAAGCATTTAAAGACAAAGGGAGGTCCCGTCACACACACAGGTGAAGGCCGCGCTCCTACCTGGCGTCGGCCTCGCTGTAGTACTCTCTGGCTACAATGTCCTCGAACAGTTCACCTCCGGTAACCCTGTGGTAACACACACACACACACACACACACACACACACACACACACACACACACAC